CAAAGAATTATTGTTACCAAAACAAACACCTTCAAAGTTTTTTTTCCATTAGAATGTTGCATTTGATATACACATAATGTGTGGAAAACAAAACACCTTTCAAGACAATGGTAATGGTAATATTTAGCAAGATACAGAAATCGGACACTTGTTGGGACAGAGGGAGTATTTTCTAATGAATAAAAATCAATACCAATAGGACCGATATAAAGCCAACAAAATGTGTTGCAGGCATTGATTCATACAGATATATTTTTTTTGTATTTTGTTTCATTGAAAATCATTTTTTAGAAGATAATTTTAATTCAGTCCGATATGTTAAATATTTAAGTAGTATAAGATTTGTCCTGACTTGCATATTTAATTGTTTAACTTAAATAAAACGCGATATGACGTTAATTAAATCTTTATTATCCTTACTACTGTTATTGTTTCGCATGTTCTTATCGGCCAAGGGATAAAGTTATAAAATAAATAAATTATCTCTGCCAGTTATTCGATAGAACACGCAAATTTTACAAAGATTAATCCTAACGTTATTCATACAATTGCATTATTATTTATCACCGTTAGTGTAGGTGAGGTTGTTGGACACTTCCATAGCAGGTTTGCTACAACGTAGTGCGACAAATCACTGTACGGGACAGTTCGCACGACCTTTCACCTTCCACAATAACCATTACCAATCGGTGCAATTACGAATCCATGGAGTAGACATATTACTTCATAATTGACCATTATGTTCCGAACTGATCTCAAAATAATTCAGCACTATGAGTGTAATTAATAGTATATTATAAACATTTTAACACAAGAATTTTACTTTTTTTTCGTTCAGTGCACAAGCAAACTTTCAAAGTAGTCATTTTAGAAATTTTTGTACACAGGAAAATTTTGAAGCTTGTTTTTTAACAAGATGTGTCACCTCAAGAAAGTATAATAGTATGTAGGTACATGTAATAGTTATTTGTTCTGAAACTTCGAAAAATGTAGCTTAGACCAATACATGGATACTGGTGAAGTAGCGCAAATCACCTCTTTAAGTATATGTGTATCGGTAAAAATATATTTTTGGAAATATATCGCATATACAGGGTGTTCATTTTATCTGAATATTTCTGCATCGGCAACCCATTTTACGTTTCATAAAGAGCTTTGATTAATTTTTATTTTTAAGTAATTATGAACGCATCGATAGCAATGATCAGAACTAAAATTATGACAAATTATTTCTGTCAACCAAATATTTACAATTTTCGTTTGCTTTAAAATGTTTTCGAATTCTAAAAAGACGGACATGCTATTAATATTGGGAAAGTGTGACAAAAATTTTGATGCTGCTGTTCGTCTCTATGCCAGGCAGTATCCCAATAGAATAACTCTTTCAAATCAAGCGTTTAGAAAACTTGAAAAAAATTTACCAGAATTTTGGTAATTCAAACAAAAAAAACGTTAGATATCGAACTGTAACAACGGCAGATAATAAAACTGCTCTAATTGAAATTGTAGCAGAAAATCCCCACGTGAGTCAAAGACAGATTGCAAGACAAATGGAGGGTACGGTTTTTAACATCGTAAAGGTAAACCGATTTCATCCATACCACGTGACAATTGTCCAACATTTAACAGAACGCGATTTTATCCGACGGTTAGTGTTTTGCTGATTCGTGAGGGCTCAATTACAAGACAATCAAGATTTTTTATTTAACGTTTTGTTTACGGATGAAACCACATTTACTACCCAGACAATATGATGTCGTCTTTTTCACGTGAATAAATGGTCATCATTTACGTCATAGTGACCAAAGATTTCACGTGATATTGACGTACCAATGACGGTCAAATGTCTCGTCTAGATGACGTCATTTTCTCACGAACTGTTGACGTGATGTACTGACGTCTTAGAGTCTTCATTTTGTAACGAATTATTGACGTCATTTACTGACGTCCTAAAGACGGCATTTATTGTCCATTTTAAGACGTTTTTTATATTCTGATTTTTAGAAAAAAATATGCAATCAATAAAACGCTGAAATAATTTTATTTTTTTATATTGTTTAGCTTAAATAAAATATTATAATTCGTTATAATCACCAAGTAAAGCCCAAAACAAAGTATATATTAATTAAAGTTAAAACAAATTAGTGTAAAAAAATTAAATTTACTACAATTTTGTACAACCAACAATGAACTTCAATAAACAAATAAGAAATATGTCAATTAAACAAATTAAAGATAAACCACTCCTAAGAACACAAACAAATCTACATACAGGTAATTACGAGTATAATTAGTATAAACAAAAAAAAGGATATTGTACAATATATAATCAAAAATAAACGTTGCAATAAAATATGCTATTTAAAGAAAAATCAGTTTTAAAAACACAAATAAATCTATTATTTACAGAGAATATTAAAAAAAAAACTATAATAAACTATAGATCAGTCTTAAAAACACAAACAAATCTATTTACAAGAAATATTAAAAAAAAAACTAGAATAAAGGGAAAAGACAATTGAATCGCATTGTTGAAGTTACTTGATAGAAAATGCACTGTAAAACCACAGTATATGTAAAACTATCTAATTCACGACTACTTGACTGTCCCCAACAAACAAAAAAGTATCGTTAAGAATTAATTCTGTTTTAACAATCATATCAATAACCTAAGTTTTTTAAGTTTGCCTCAATTTATTGCACTGAAAAGAAAAACCCGTTAGAGTGCATGGATTAATGGAAATGCAATCATTTGACTATTATTAAATTTAAGGGATTACAGCTTAAAGCAGAAGACAAATTCTGTATTTTAAAAATGCTAAATTTACCTGAATCTAACGGATAATGGTAAAATAGTTGCATTGACAAAAGGAAAATCTCGTTGTCAATACTTTTTACAATGAAGCGAAATGTGTATGTGTAAATAGTAAGTTACCAAAAAGTATCGTAGTATTACAGGCATCTACCGGTATATAATATCCAATATTAATGTTATATATGTATATATGAATTCATTGTATTTTTTTTTAACTTACAAAGAAATTTGCTTGTTCTAATATGCAAACATAATCTTGTAATTCGTCAAAATTTGTTTAGGTGTGGTTTTGGCGGCATAATTTCTGTTTTTATTTTCTTTTTCAGTTGTCAGATTTGATGTCGTTTCCATGTTGGAGATTTTTTCACTCGTTTCCTTTAGCATTTCTTTCGTTTCGCACATGTGTTTTGTATTTGTTTCAAATCTAAAAGAAAATTATGTTCATTAGCATTAGTTCATAAAAAATTGCAGTAACATACCTTTGCAATATTTTATAGCGCCTCATTTTCAAAAACAATCACCGTAAGTTCTTCATAATCAGTGGAAGTATCTTCAGTGATTAATGGTGGTCTTTCCAGCTTATCTGAAAAAACTACTTTTGTTATCTACGTACAGTTATCAAAAATAACAGAAACACGTAAAAATTAAAATGATTACTTTATTAGATATTAACTTACCTACTATAAATAAGTAAAACCCACACTGAATAGCATAAATTTGCACAAAACTGCGTTAAAAATGAAGTGTGTAACGGATACACGAGAAAGTTTCGGTGGTTGAGAACCAACTGGAAATATTAGAATGCTTCTCTGTGAAGTGCAATAAACATAAATACCGAAAAAAGGGAAAGTCCGAATGCACACCCCAAACATCTGATGTATTGTATAGTAAATACGGATAAGAATAAATTTAATAAAACTGAATATTAATCGCTCTCGAATTTTTTTAGTAACCGTCATTACTTTATAAACGTCTTTACAAAATCAAAATTCTACGAAGGAATTCTTCAAAACCTTGTCCCGTTTTAGGGACAATGGACAAAGAATTTTTATGACTTTGTTTGTGCCGTAGGGTCTTTTCACTATTATACGCTCAACCCCGGATGTTCTATTTATAATTTGCCAAGCAGGTACTTACAAAATAACACTTCCAGAGTAAACAAGTTTTCAGAAATAATTATTTTGTTAGAAATTATTAGAATGAAAAAACTTGTCTTTGGTGTATTTCTAATTAAGCCGTTGTATTTTTTGCTCTAAATATAATTAAGCATTATGAAGGCCACTTTTTAAAGAATACGACGACCCATGTCTAATTGATCATATAATCTATAAACAATGACGAAGAAAGGACGGCCTTTTGACGTCATTAATTGACGTCAGAAGTAAGTCATAAAAATCTCGTCATTTTCACGTGATTTTTTGGGCGAATGACGTCGCCGACGAGTTATGACCAAAAATTGACGTGAATTAGACGACAGTCTGCTGCTTGGGTAGTAGCGGGTGTGTAAACAGACACAACTCACATTACTATGGCATCAAAATTTCCATTGGTATGAGCACTTCCAAAAAGTTTTGAAAGTTAATCCTTGGTGTTGAATTGTTGATAACCACGTCATTGGTCCAAATTTTTTTGAAGGAAATTAGTTGTAGAAACAAATGGTGGTCCTGAGAAGGACCGATTATTGGTAATGTTTCATGGTGATCGACTTTTTATTCTGACGGATGTTTGGTCCTTGCCACAACGATTCCACATTGTTTATTAGAACAAAAATAAGAGCAACTTAGAGTGCTACTACCTTTTTACAATAAATGTTGAAAATGTTGTCCTTGACTAGCAATACAGGTTTCAACACGTCGCAACATGTTTGCATGGATACGTAAAAAAATTCTGGGAGTACCACTAACTGCAGCGGCTGCCACTCGTTGTTCAAGCTCTTCGATAGTTTTTGGACATTTTTGATTTCCATAAACTAACTGTATTATCCAATCCCACAGACAAAAATCACACGGACTGTGATCGGATCAAAATCGTCGTTGAAATCGTACTTCTTGACGAGCGTGTGGATTTTCATCGGACCAAACGTGAGTGTTGTGCATTTAAAAAGTTAGGGCGTTCACGACATTGCTGTAGCAACCATCCGCAGTAAATTACACGACGTGGAGAGTTAGCTGTCTCCAAAGCTTTGCACTTTTGAACATGGTGTAGATGTTGCCTTGTTCTTTTAATGTACGATGCACTATAAACTGTAAAACTCGAAGTTCAGCTGCAAGTCGACGAGTGCTAATGTCGGGTGCTTCTTCGACGCGTTCCAAAATTTGCTCTTCAGCTTTCTTTCGGTCCTATTATGGCCACGATCGTGAGTTTGACGCTGAAGGTACCATGATCTTGGAGATGCTGTACCACTCATGTAAATGTTCGCGTACACAAAATCGCGCGATTTGGAAAGCGCTCGATCAACAATTCGCGGGCCAACCTGGCGTTTCCATCAGCCACACCATAAAGCGATACCATGTTGATATGTTCTGAATTGGAAAAATTCACTAATGTTAAAGATGTTAACTGAACACACAACAGAAACCAACTGATACGTGACTGGCCTTTATCGTGTTTTTGCACGTTGCTTATCAGTGCGACGCTTTTTTGGTTCTTAATCCTAGTCGTTCTATGCCATTCATTGAATAATAGTTATGGTAGGTCAAGAAACACTACCAGTGGTGTGTCTAACAATTTATATTTAATTTCAAATAATTTGTTTTAAACATTACTCCACTTAGGACCGTGAACTTTACTCAGTGCAGTAAATCTTATTACGAGCTATTCTCCTTTTTTTATTGCACACATTTCGAAATCCGATTGTATCTATAAAAAATTTGACAACAGTCGGTTCGGTAGCTTCAGAGTTTATCTGTCTAACAAAAATCAACACAGACGAAATCGAGAAACCGATTTTTTTGTACTCTAGGGGTCATGACCCATCCCATTCCGATAAACTCGATTACAATACTTCCTAAAGTACTCGAACGGCACTACAGCACATAATAAAAACAAACAACAAGAAAAAATTGCTGTATTTTTCGAGCGGAAACGGCGTTTGATGTAGTAAGTCTTATATCTAAACGGGAAATCCAAAAGAAGGGCTCACATCGCGCTCACGCACCTCGCATTGAAGTGTAAAAATTCCTTATCTTAACTATTTTCTGTAAAGTTACGTGGCTTTAGAACGAAAAGACTTATAGGAAAATACGACCATTAGAAGCTCTTCACCGGCAACTTGTTGCAGATCTTATCGGAGCCTGAAAATCGCAAAACGTGACCTTGCAATGCACTTAACACCTTGCAGAATCTGTACCTATGACTTGTTTGTTAAATGTAATAAAAAATGGTGCCTCTTTTTTGTTGTAATTAATTGTATAAAAAACTAAAAAAGCAATCACATTCCATAGTTTCTGCAGCTATGTGGATAATTTCGTCGAATTTTGTTTGACGAAGTACTTTAAGATAAATATTTCTACAAAGCGCTTGATTAAAACACATATTTGGTGCGGTCATAAGCTCGCAACAACAAATATGAGCGATCTAATAGCTTGGAAATTATTTATTTAATTAAACTTAAAAGACCGTTTTTGGCTATTGTCACTTCTTTACAGATAAAGTCATAAATTGTTTTAATTTTATGGATTATAGTTTCTTTTTACGACGTATCAACCTTTTATTCAAGCTAAATAGATGAACAAAATAGGGCACACGAAATTAACAAATATATATGTATAAATATTTTTAAATTAGATACACAGGTAAATTTAATACTGTCAAAATGTACGCTAGTGTCAAATTAAAATATCTCCGTTTCGAGTAAAACTAACATTTTTGTTACGTTATGATGTTCTACTTATTAATCTCTATAAAAGTGGAACGATAGGTGACTGCGCTTTCGAAATGAAGCCCGCTCCTACCCTACTCGAACTGACTGGACTGTCGTCCGCGCAAACAATAATTTCGTTATTTTGAGCTTCAACCTGTCAGAATAGCCGGTGTAGTCTCGGTTTCGGGTTTATGCGTGCAGTCGGGCAAGTAAGTCTTCGATGTCGATTTTGCATAGATGGCAGATTTTCTACAGACCACGATAAAACTACAAACGCTGTTTAGTAAAGCTTACGTCAGAATTTTTTGAATAAGCAGTAAATCTTTTTTTTTATGTACCAAGTATAACACTTTAAGCCACGTACCTAATGTTTCACATATCTATTTCTCACCTCTACACCTCATGAGCGATGATGTTAAATCATGAAATCCTGTTACATCAAATTATGTTCTGTTATGTCTGACCCTGTTCTCTGAATTGGTTGCAATTTGTGTTTATGCATTCCACTTAATGGTTAAGGTAGAATCCTATCATAAAATATTTTGAATATTAGACCACCACCATAGTCAACTATCTCTGTACAAAATAAGCTGGTCCAGTAAAAAAATTATTTGAGTTCCTAGGATTAATAGATTACTAGATTTACAGATTAACAGATTTTTCTTGTATAAATGAATATCATTTCAATTCAGCGTCATGATTTTTTAATCAACCAAAAGTTCACTCCAAATTAACTAGTTGTGACATCAGCCAATTTATTCATCATTTATACAAAAAGTTTCAATATTCAATGAACAACTATAATTTAAAATACTTTGTTGCAGAAAAGATTTGATCTGTGGTCACCTACATTTAAAATTTCAAATTTGGCGCTACAACTAGATGGCAGCAGTGAGGAGGAGGCAGTACGGGACGCGACAGGATCAAAAGAGATTTTAATAAACCCGCTCGTTCGAAGATTAAAAATTAGTTTTATTAAAAAACCGACTACAATTTCAGGAGTGGGATGAACGACCTTAACATCGGAATGACCAATGTCCGATTTGTGTTTGTAAAGTGCTGATTCATGGAATAGTTACACGGATAAATGGTAGAAGAGTCAAGCACGTGGGAAATGTGAGGTTATGTCAACTCATCACGTTTTCATAAAAGGAGAAGATGGCAAGAACCCTCCAAGAAGTGGAGTTGTGTGACGACGCTATTAAGAATGGTCCTTATGCATCGGTACGTACGCTATACGGCCTTGCCTTTGACGACGGTAGTCGGTTGAACAGAAAGAAGCTGTGTCAATGGACTGGTTTCCCTTTTGAGATCGCATCAGATGACTTCAATGAGAAAGTGGATGAGGTAGTGCAGAATTTTACGATCGCAGAACTTTGTGGAGTCGGCCTCCTACTGGGGTTGAATTGTGCAGGTACTCACCAAGAAGTGGCCGAGAGAATTTGTTCAGTGTTGACTAATTTTGATCTGTTTACACAAGAAAGAGTTGTTCAAGAACAAGAGAGTGAAGACGAGGACGACGAAGATGATCCGGTAGACAGTGATGATGGTCGAGCAGGCGCGGCAGCAGTCCCTACGTTCACCATGTCTTTCAGAGACATTGAAGATTCCGTACGCACTTTTAGTGGTGACGACAATTATGCAATCGAGACTTGGGTCGCAGACTTTGCAGACATCGCTAAACTTATGAAGTGGTCGGAACTGCAACGACTAGTTTTTGCGAAGAAATCATTAACTGGGCTTGCTAAGTTATTTATCCAAAGTCAGAGGAATTTGGGTACATGGAAGGACTTGAAACGCAGGTTATTGAGTGAATTTTCCAAGAAGGTGAGCACTGCTGAACTGCATCGCATGCTGAATAATAGAAAAATGGAAAAAGAAAAATCTCTCCAGGAATACTTGTTGAAGATGCGTGAACTCGCTTCAAAGGGTCAAATTGAAGAGGAGTCAGTAATCGAATATGTCATTCAAGGTATCAACGATGATCCTGAACACAAATTTTTGTTGTATGAAGCTAAAACTTATGTCGACTTAAAGAAAAAAATTGAAGTTTATGAGAAGTTTAGAAAGACCCGCACACCTTCGACTCAATCTGTTGGTCAACGTTTCCGAAAGCATAATAACGAAAACAAAGGAACTTATTCTCCGGGGTCTGTAGGAGCGAAGGGCAGTAGTAAACCCCCTCCAAATCAGAACATAATTAGAAGATGCTATAATTGTAATGGTGTGGGCCATTTCGCCTCAAATTGTCCAATTCCGGTGAAGGAAAAGGGTTCCTGTTACAATTGCGGTTCAAAGGAACATCAGAAGAGGAATTGTCCAGGGAAGAAAAAGGAAGACAACACCACCAATGTGATATCAACCGAGACACAAGATCCCTATATGGTAAACGTTAAGATTAATGTTAAAGATGATTGTCAAACCGAATGAAGCTATAATTTGAATTCATTAATCGATACAGGTAGCCCAATTTCAGTTGTAAAAGTTCGGTATGTCACCGAAAATAATTTCAATGAAGGTCTAAATCCAAATTTAAATTTCGTGGGTGTGAATGAATCTAAGCTTGATATTTTGGGTATTTTTAACACGGAAGTATTTGTTAATGAAACTGTTTTACCCATAAAATTCTATGTAGTTCCTAATAGCACCATGTCCTTTAACGCTATATTAGGTAGAGATTTTCTCAATACCAAGGGTTTCACGTTTACGTTAGGAGATCATTTAAAAATTATTTCAAACGAATTTGAGAAAGTAAATAACTTTGACGAAATTTTACATGTCGATTTTAAGGTAGGTGAAGAAATAAAAAGTAACAAAGAAGTACAGATCAATCCTTGTTTAGATTATGATAAAAAAGTGGAAGTTTTGGAAGTGTATGATAATTTTTATTTATGTAATGACTCGCCAAAGATTGATTGTAATTACGAAATGAACATTTGTGTTAAGAATGATCAACCAATCTCTTTTAGACCACGGCGTTTATCCTTTTCTGAAAAAGAAAAATTACAAAACATGTTAGATGATCTATTAGAACGAGGCATTATTAGACCTAGTAGCTCTGATTACTGTAGTCCAATTGTACTGGTAAGAAAAAAGACAGGTGACTTAAGGCTTTGCGTTGATTATCGTGAATTAAACAAAATTACTATTAAAGACAACTTTCCTACTCCTTTGATAGAAGACAATCTGGATCGACTTCGAAACAAAAGATATTTTACGACCCTTGATCTTAAGGATGGTTTCCATCATGTTCGTGTAGCAGAATCGTCGATTAAATTTACTAGTTTTATCACACCTTTAGGGCAATTTGAATATCTTAGAATACCTTTTGGGTTAACTAATGCCCCAAGAGTTTTTAACAGATTTATTAATTTAGTTTTCAATAAATTGATTCGAGCAAACAAAATTATTTTGTACTTAGACGATATTCTAATAGCGACCAACAGTTACGAAGAACATTTAGACATTTTGAAAGAAGTATTTGGTGCAGCCTCCCAACACAATTTGCTTTTTCGAATTGATAAATGTGCTTTTCTTATGTTTGAAATTTCTTATTTAGGATATCTAGTAAACAATGATGGCATCAGACCTGATCCGAAAAATGTTGAAGCAATTTTGCAGTATCCAATTCCTACAAATGCTAAGGAAGTTCATAGGTTTGTTGGTATTGCTAGTTATTTTCGAAAATTTATAAATGGGTTTTCCGTCCTTACAAAACCTTTATATGACTTGTTAAAAAAGAATGTTGAGTTTCGGTTTGGTGAAAAAGAACTTGAATCATTTGAACAAGTAAAAAATCAATTAGCTTCTTATTCTCTTTTAGCTGTGTATGATCCGCATACCCAAACAGAGTTGCACTGCGACGCATGCACATCTGGGTTTGGAGCTATTTTACTTCAAAAACAGTCGTCGGGAAAGTTTCATCCTGTTTTCTATTTTAGTCGTAGGACGACCGAAACCGAATCTAAATATCACAGCTTTGAATTGGAATGTTTAGCCGCTATCTATGCTATTAAACGATTTCATATATATCTCTTCGGTATACATTTTACGATTGTCACAGACTGTGATAGTTTTAGGCTTACTCTGAATAAAAAAGATATTAATGTTCGAATTTCTAGGTGGGCACTATTCTTACAAAATTATGACTACGAATTGCAACATCGTCCAGGAACACGGATGATCCATGTTGATGCTTTAAGTCGAGCCAACAATATTTTAGTACTAGAGGAAAATACACTGGAACAAAATTTAGCTATTTCTCAAAATTTAGATTCGAGTATTCAGAAGGTTAAGTCTGAACTCGAAATCCGCGAAAGTACAAAATTTGAACTTAGGAATGGACTAGTGTATAGAAAGAACAAAGGAAAACTTTTATTTTACGTTCCTTCGTTGATGGAAAGTCAGATCTTAACTATGTGTCATGATAATTTCGGTCACGTTGGAGTGGACAAAACTATGGAGTATCTAAAACGCAGCTATTGGTTTCCTAGTATTAAAGAAAAAGTGAAAAATCATGTTCGAAATTGTTTGAAATGTATCACCTTTTCACCAATTGGTGGCGCTGTGCCGAGTGAGTTACACAATATCCCTAAGGGAAATAAACCCTTTATCACCATACATATTGACCATTATGGTCCATTAGAAAAAACTTCGACAGGTAAAAGATATATTTTTGAGATCATTGATTGTTTCACTAAATTTGTAAAACTGTATGCAGTCAAGAGCACCAAAACTTGTGAAGTAATCAATCAGTTAGAAAATTATTTTAGGCACTATAGTGTACCGTTACGTATTGTATCCGATCGGGGATCCTGTTTTACCTCTAATGAGTTCGAAAAGTTTGTTCAAGAACATATGATTCAGCATATTAAAGTCGCGACGGGGTCACCAAAATCAAACGGTCAGATCGAAAGAATCAATCGAGACTTAACACCAATGTTGTCAAAATTGGCTATTTTAACAAACAAGTGGGAGAAAGCTTTGGGAACAGTTGAATTTGCTATTAACAATTCGTTTTGTAGATCCACTGGTAATTCTCCATCCGTTTTATTGTTCGGTATTAGTCAAAACGATCCTAGCGATCCTTTAAGAAATTTATTGGGCGCTGAAGCTGAAAAAGAAGATGACTTAGCCGAGGTTCGAGAAAAGGCTCAGTCTCAGAATGAAAAGTTACAAGCATACAATAAGCGCATGTATGACCAAAAACATAGACCTCCCAAACCGTACAATGTCGGTGATTATGTGATGATAAAAAACATAGATGTTACCCCAGGTATCAATAAAAAACTTTTGCCTAGGTATCGTGGTCCCTACGAAATCAAGAAGTCATTAGGCAATGATCGTTATTGGATTAGAGACGTTGAAGGTTTCCAAGTAACGCAAATCCCATTTGAGGGAGTATGTTGTCCTGAGAATATGAAGCTTTGGCTTCAATAAGTTACAAAGAGATTAGTTTCATTTGTTCATTATTTCATAATGTTGTGTTTCTTAGTTTTGTTTCCACCTCGTTCTAGTTTTGACGCTAACATGTTCGTCCTTTAAGCCGTCTTTTAAGCGATTGGGTTTTCTAATTCATCTCTAATACCCTTATGATTTTAATGTGTCCTAATTACTTATGTGATTTATGTACTTTAGATACTTATGTGCGTCTTATCATTATGTTATTTAGGCGTTATATTATGTATTGGGTTTATGTAACTTATGATGTTTGTGTGACTGAAGTTTTAAGCACCTTATGTTTTCTGTCACTTATTATGTTATGTACCTTATGTTTTACTTTGTGTATATGATCGGGACGATCATAATGTCAGGATTGGCCGAATTGTGGTCACCTACATTTAAAATTTCAAATTTGGCGCTACAACTAGATGGCAGCAGTGAGGAGGAGGCAGTACGGGACGCGACAGGATCAAAAGAGATTTTAATAAACCCGCTCGTTCGAAGATTAAAAATTAGTTTTATTAAAAAACCGACTACAGATCATAAACAAAACTCTTAAAATATAGCTATTTACTTGCCAAGCGTAAAAGTTGTTTCCTTCTGTGTCATTGGTCTGTCCTTTGTATGAACTTCATTAATCATTAGACAGATAATTTCCAAAACGACCGCACTTGTCACATTTTATAAGGTTTTTTAGGAATATTGTGATAGAACGCTCAACCTCACCAATAATTTCCTAACGTTATCTAAAGAAATTCGTAAGTAAACGCTGTTTACTCCTGCATTTTATAAAATAAAATACTTATGGTTTATGAATCCGTCTTGATTTTTACTTCCCTGGCATGAGGTACGTAAGTATTGTAATCGAGTCCATCGGTCGACTTTCGTGTTTTCTCGAAGTTTTATGACTTCTAGAGTATGAAAAAATATGTCTCTCGTTTCCGTCTGTCGGTCTGCCGTGTGTGGTACCATTTGTCCGCATCTGTGTCGATTTTTATTAGAGAAACAATCTCCGAAACCCTGGACCGTTTGTGTAAAATTTTGTGTGTACGTTAAAAATATCGTGTAGATAATAAAATTTGTCTGCCTATATCCCCACCAACAATCTTATGACGTCATCTCCAAATTTTACAATAATAAATGTTATTTAAATTTAAAAAATAACATACTCCTCCACTTGTTGTTAGTTTGTCTAATACTTGTGGTTGCATGCATGAATTCATATTTTTTTTGAATTGCTTATACAAAGTAACTCAAAAAAATAAATGAACATGTTTCATTACTTATTTTCCCGAAAGTATGAGGATTACACAATACTACACAGCACCTATTCAAATTGTGCCCTTCTTAACAAGAAATTTTTGTATGGAAAAACTCACTACCAACATGATGTTTCTTTACTTACAGTTTATTAACCCACATATACTTATATTAATTTTAGCGCTTAGGGATCATTATAAAAAAAAATCTCCAAATTAAATTGTATAATTTTTTGGAGCTGTATTTACTCGACTGTACTTCAAGGCGAGGAAAGTTCTGTTTAAACAACCGTTGACCAATTTTTTACGCTTGCTATCCAAATTTTCGGAAAGAAAAAGTCAAAAATGAGTAACAACATTTTACAATTTAACTTATAAACTACAAAACCAAACATTCTGAACTCTTGCAAATGTTTTAAGGATATTTTTTTAATAAACGTGTTCGTTGATTGTTTTTGTTTTAAAACGTGTTTTTTGTTTTTTTTGTGTATTTTTGTTGTTGTTGTAAACATTTAGCGGAAATAAACAGTGAAAAGACACTTTTTTCCGTAAACTAGCAAGTATTTGTTATTTACTAAATAAGGTCAAATTTTCTTTATACCGAAAAATTAAAGTTACAAATATATCTGCCATCCACAAAAAAAATCATTACGAAAAATTGATCCAGAATTAGTTGTATATATA